TTTGGTTGAGAATAATTTGGAATTTTTGTCAAAGTAACAAAGAGAACTTTTTTTTCCTTAGAATGTAGAAAGCCGCAAAAAAAGTCACACAATCCCATCAACAAGAGAAAATGGAATAATCAACAACATCGTAACTTTTCTTGCGCCCATCAGAGAGCTGAGACTGCAGGGCAGGAAAATAACCTGAATCCACAAGGACTGTCCCCTCCGAGAGAGATGGACACATGCGTGACTTCCACCTCTGAAAGAGCACAGGCCAGTGTAAGAAACCAGCTAAAATGGTAACACACCCTCACAGCCCACCTGTGGGCTAGCACACCTGTCTGGGAAGGCTCTGGGAAGGCTCACCTGATGAGGGGTGCTCACACTCCCCAACACGAGCCTCCACGGACCTCATGGAAAACAGCAGCGGGAGGCTGAGCAGAGGAAAGCTCCCCGGGGCAGCACAGCACTTGGAGCGGCACACAGCCCCACCTGCCCACACAGACCACTCCTAGCGAGCAAACCCAGAAGCCCCCAGGCCAGAAGCAGGAGTCCCTGTCCACAAAGTGCAGGCACAGCCCCACTCACTGCACAGGGGTGGGTGGCGGGGTATAGAGACAAAGCCTGTCTCGCTCGTGGTGCGCACAGAAAACCTCCCAAGACACGGGAAAAAATCATCAGTGATGGGTAGGCTGAGGGAAGAAGCAGAAAGGTCTACCCCAGGGCGGGGCAGAAAACGCCTTGGGCACAGAATTCCGTACTGACACCAAGCAGAGGTTTGCTACCACTGGGGCAGTGAAAACGCCGCACTGCACACACACAGACCCAGACACACAGGGAGATCAGATGAACATGCCCATCCCTCCACGGGCCTGGCACCGAGTCCCGAGCAACGGACAGCCAACGCCGGGAGATAGGCAAGAGTGGGGCCCTCGGTGAGGCAGGTGTGCAGGCTCCACTCAGGCTGGTGGTGGAGCAGGAACCCTGGGGAAAGCCTCTGCACACTCACACTCACTCCAACACATGAGCAGAAGGACGGTACCGGTCGGCTTTGTGTGCCCACTACGCCAGGGCCAGGCCGTAGTCCCCAGAGACCCAACCAGACGTGAAGCTCGGCTTGGCTGTGAACGTATTCTGCACACGTGCTTATCGGCTGACTTGAAGCGCAGGAAATTGTCTTTGGTGACGTGGGTGGGCCTCGTCCAATCAGCTGAAGGGGCTTAAGAGCCAAACTGAGGTGTTCCCAGGAAGAAATCTCTGCCTCAAGACAGCAGCAGCAGCTCCTGCCTGGGAGTTCCGGCCTGCCAGTCCGCACAATCACACGAGCCAGTTCCCTGAAGCAAAGCTCTTTACATACACCTGCAAATGCAAACACACACACACACACACCTCCTACTGTTTCTGGTTCTCTGGAGAACCCTGACAGACATAAGGACCAACTACTCGCTGTGAGAATACGAAGCCTCTGCCACAGTGGGCACGACCACAGCAACAACAAATACAGCCCCGGAGGACTCCTGACTAGACATCGACTACACCATTTACCACATTCTCTACCATCCTTCGACATGTCCAGCATGCAATCAAAATTTATAAAGCACACAAAAAGCAGGAAAAAGCAAATTACAGTTAAGAGAAAGAAATCAGAAGAGTCAGACTCAGAGATGGGCCAGATTCCTGAACTGCAGGTCAGAGACTGTAACATAACTACGATTAATAAATATAACAGAGGACCTAGAAGAAAAGGCAGACAACATGCATTTCAGCAGATATGAAAACTAAAATATAGCCCACGGAAATTCCAGAACTAAAAAACTCAGTTTCAGAGAAAAAGAATTCCTATGACTGGTTTATCAGTAGACTGAGATGCAAATAAGAAAAAGCTCAACAAAACATGAGAGAAAACAGAAGAAAATATCCAAGAGCTGTGATACAATACCAAACAATCTAACGCATATATTACTGAGTCCTATAAGAGGAAAAAAACAAGGGAGAAGAAATATTTGAAAACATAATGGCTGGGAATTTTTCAAAAACAAAGACATCAAGCTACACATCCCAGAAACTCAGAAAGAATAAACTCCACGACCATGGCTGCACGCACCTGTAGTCTCAGCTACTCAGGAGGCTGACGCAGGAGGATCGCTTGAGCCCACAAGTTCAAGTCCAGCCTGGGCAACATAGAGAGACCCTGTCTCTTAACAAAAAATAAAAATGAATTCCAAAAACCAGACAAACACACAAACACACATATGTCATAGATAAACTACTAAAACTCCAAAGGTAAGACATTCTTAAAGGTTGCCAGAGAAAAAAGAAAGAAAAGAAACAGAGAAACAAAAATGAGAAATACAGCAGACTTCTTACCAGAAACTCTGCTAGCCAGAAGATAATGGGTGACTATTTTAAAGTACAATACTAAAAGAAAGGTGTCAACACCAAATTCTATAGCCAGAAAAAATAACTTCCAACAACAAAGACAAAATGAAGGATTTTTCAAATAAAAATCTGGGAAAAAGCAATGCCTGCAGACCAGCACTACAAGAAACTCTAAAGGAAGTTCTTCAGGCAGGATGATTACAATATTGGGTCGAAACTTGAACCTAAGCAAAGAAATGAACAGTCTCAAAATAGTAAATAGGAAGGTAAATATAAAAGACTTCTATTTATGATTACTGTTTTTTATCTTTTGAAAACTGACAATACCAAGTGCTAGTGAGGATGTAGAACAATAGGAACTCCCGTATGTTGCTAGTAGGAATGCAAAATGGTACAGCAGAAAAACAGTTTGGCAATTTCCTTAAGAATTAAACATATACTTACATGTGATCTAATAATCCCAGTCCTAAATATTTAACCAAAAGAAAACATGTCCACACAAAGACCAAATGCTTATAGCAATGTTATCCATAACTGCCAAATTTGGTAACAACTCAAACCTCCACCAACTGGTAAACGGATAAACAAATAGTGTTACATCCATAAAAGGGAATAAATGGAAAAATCTACTAATACATCCAGCAACATGAATGAATCTCAGATGAATTCTGCTAAATGAAAGAAGATACAAAAAGCTACAAACTATATGGTTCTATTTACATAACATTCTATAAAAGGAAAAAAACGTGTGTACAAAAATCAGATCAGTGGTTGCCAGGGGCTAGAGAAAAAGGAGGGGACTGATTATAGAGGGGCCTACGGGACCTTTCTTGGTGTAATAGAAATATTCCATACACTGACTGTGGCACTGTCATACAACTGTGTATGCTTGTCAAAAGTCACAGGAATGTACACCTACAAAAGGTGAATGTTACCGTACATAAATTGTAGCTCAGTAACCTTGATGCTAAAAGAAAAAAAGTAGACATAATGTGTAATGGTTAAGAACACAGACAGCAGGTATCTGATAAGGGACTAATATCCAGAATATATAAAGAACTCCTACAACTCAATAACAACAAAACAAACAATCCAATTTAAAAATGGACAAAGAACTTAAATAGGCATTTCTCCAGAGAAGATATACAAATGGCCAATAAACCCATAAAAAGATGCTCAACATCACAAATCACTAAGCAAAGACAAATTAAAACCAGAACAGTGGCAGAGCCTGTAGCCCAGCTAGTCCCGAGGCTGCAGAGGGAGGATCTCTTGAACCTGGGAATTCACAACCAGCCTGGGCAACACAGTGAGACCTTGTCTCAAAAACAGACAAACCAACAGCAACGGCAACAAAACCCACAGTGAGATCCACCCCGCACTCATCAGGATGGCTACTATCAAAAACAAAACAGTACTGGCATCGGTGTGGAGAAACAGGAGCCCGTGCGCGTTGCTGTGGGGAGGTAAGATGGTGCAGCTGCTGTGGACACAGCACCGCAATTCCGCAGAAACCACAAACAGAACGACTACACGATGCAGCAATTCCGCTTCTGCGTGCATACCCGGAAGAACTGAAAGCAGAGGCTCAAACAGACATCTGCACACCAGTGTTCACAGCAGCACTATGCACAATAGCCGAAAGGTGGGACCCAGCCGATGTCCACCAGCGGGTGGCAGGTAAACCGAATGTGCGACACGAGGCCACCGTAAAAAGGAAGGAAATTCCGACACATGCCACAGCATGGATGAACCTCGGGGACATCATGCTGAGTGAAATAAGCCAGTCACAAATATTGCATGATTCCACTTATATGAGGCACCTAGAGTAGTCCAATTCACAGAGACAGAGATGGAACGATGGTCACCGGGCCGGGGGAGGAGGGAATGAGGAGCTGGGTACTGGGGACAGAGTTCCAGCTGGGGATGGATGGTGATGATGGCTGCACAACGCTGTGAGTGTACTGTCACTGAACTGCACACTTACAAACGGCTAGGATGGCATCTTATGTCAAAACACAGTCTCTGGACTTGGGCTGCAGAGGTTCACATCCCAGCTCTGCCACTTACAGAACAACTCTGGGCAAATTCTTAATCTCTATGTCTCATTTTCCTCAGCTCTAAAATGCAGATTAATAATAAAACCTACCACACAGAGTTGCTGTAAGGATTAAATGGCTCAATAAACATCAAGTGCTTCAAACAGTACCTAGCACACTGCAAGCACTCAGTAAACATTGGCTATTATTATGATGATGATGATGATCCACTATATATCACGTGGTGCTTTGCGGAAAATGGTTCGGTTTATCTTTTCTATAAATATATTTGCATGCAGCTATCATTCAATTTTTCTAAAGTATATACCTACTATTATGTGCTAGACACAGGGCAAATTTAAAAGAGAAAATTATACAACTCAATAATCATTACTTTATTAATTTTCCTTAAAACACTTTCTCCACTACAAATCATAGGTGAATACATCTAAAATTACTTAAAGGTTACATAACTCCAAAAAGAAATAAAGTCCTCAGACATAAACCAGCCGGAGGCTCCCCGGCCCGGCCCGTGGTGGGAAAGCCCTGCCCAGCCCAGAACCCCCGGGCCCAGCGGCAGCAGGAGGGGCGGGCACTCACCTATCCAGCACTCCAAACGCGCGCAGGGCGTGGTCTTCACCACATCTGGAGGGTCCACACCGACATTCAGACACAAAACTAAGGCAACACTGACCGTCTTCATCTGGAAACACAAGAGGAAAAAAACCAAATATTTCAATATGGAACTCACTTACACATTTTTCCAGCTTTGAAAATGTCCCCGGAATACCCACCCGCCTGCCCCTCATGCCCTTCTTTCCACCTGTCACCTGGGCTACCCCAGTGCTAGTGCCGGGAAAACTCCTTCTTTGAAGACCGGATTTCAGAGGAAGGTGGGCAGATGGGGGCGGAGTGGGGGGACACGACAGGAGCAGCTTTTCTCAGGCTGCCTTATGATAAAACTCTCAAAATGGAAGTATGTGATTGAAAGACATAAATATTTCAATGCACTTGATACATTGTGCCAAATTCCTTTGCAAAGAAGTTGCACAAATTTACATTCCCACATTATCATTATTTAAAATCATTGATCATTTGATGAGAAAAATTATCACATTGATTTAGCTTGCATTCTTTCACATTAGTAAGGCTGAATACGTTTTCATGTATGCATTCACTATTTGTATCTTTCCTCTTTTATGAACTGTCAGCGTGACTGCACTGACCTCTTGGCCCTCAAACCAGACCTCGGTTTAAATATCCATCTCTCGGGGAGGCCTTCTCTGAACACCCTCATTACACCCCATCCCCATCAGGGTAGAGCCGCCTGGCAAACCCGGGCTTGAGCCCGTCTACACTACTCAGCGGACCAGAGGCTGCACGAGGGATGTGAGTCGACTCCTCTGAGCGAAACCTGGCACAGACCAGGTGCTAACTATTTGCTGAATGAGGAAATGCATGTATTTTACTCTAGTGTTTTCATTTTTGTTTTACATTTGGCCTTTCAGCCCATCTGGATGTTATTTTGGTAGATGATACAAAATGAGCATTAATTTTTTTTCTCAAAAAACTAGCTAATTGTGCCAATCTCCATTCAATAATCTCCCCCAAACCCACAGGTGTGTAGAGAGTCCTTTAGCATACATTAATTCTCATATGGACCAAACTATTTCTGGGTAGTCAAATTTATTCCATTAACCTATCAACCATACTTCTACTAGTACCACATTAATTTAAATAATTTATCTTTACACTTCATAGTACTTGGCTGGGTCAGTTTTCATCCTCAAAATTTTTTTTTAATTTTACTTAGCTATTTCATATTCATCCATTTTTTTTTCAAATTAATCAGTTAGGTGAGGGATATCTCAATTGTCCTAATTTGATTATATGAATATATCAAATTATCACATGTACCCCAAAAATA